GCTATAAGAACTAGTAAAAAAAAGGTCTTAAAATACATTTATTAATTCAAAGAGCTAAATTGCAAACAATTAATTTAATGAAAGACATACGATTTTATATAGTTCTAGATGTGAGGTTTGTCTTAAATAAAAAAAGCGGTAACGTATTTTACCCAGAACTTCCCTCGATATAGAAATTGTAAAAGCAGGGAACTCCTAAGCATTTAAATTTTAATAATTTAAAATTAAAAACACCAAACCAAAAACCCTTTTTCACATTTCTCTCTCCATCGATCTTCCTCTAGATCCCACCCGAATTCTCACTTCGTGTCCACTCGGTATTCTTCGTCACGATTACTGTTATTGAACAATAATGATTGGCTGCTTTTGAAATGGTTCAGTTACATAAACCAAAAGGATGATTTTTATTTCTTCATTCAAGTGGTACCTTTTTTGATTAAATACGATTCCTTACAGCGCCATTTTGAATTTTTAAAAACTTATTTAGGATCTCTAATCTTTGACTTCTAAAATTATCAGATTACAATTTTAGTCGAAATCTGCTGACTTTTAAAAATAATTTTTATTTTAAAAACTGTTCACCGTGTATATAACTGATCGGAATTATAACTGGGTTTGAGCCAGAAAGGAACCTTATCTGCATACAAAATGTGAAGGTTTTCTATAAAGCCGTTTTTGAGCTATCGCGCCAACAGACATGCAGACAGACTGACGGAATGGGGAAACATGTTTTTAGTAATCTAGGGACCCTAAAACGTGAAAACTTGAGATAATCTCGGAAGGTGACGTTTTCACGATTACAATACTTCCCTTTTATAGAGAGAAGTAAACATGTTCATTGCTAGAAAGAAAAAGTTTTTTTTATATGTTAATGAATTTCATTTAATTTATTTTTCAAACAAATTGAATAAATTTGACGGCAAGAAAGGACATCTTAAAGCTTAAGGGCCAGTTCTTCAATCAAAGTTTAAACTGAGTTCATTAAACCAACTGGTTATAATTAAAAGGTGGTGTATTTTAAATGTAGTTCACGACTGAACTTAATTTAAACTATTCGAAAAATTGAACCGTCAAACTTGGGCGTTTAAACTAAGATCATTGTTTGACATTGACATAATATAAGTACATTTTACAATGTTTACATTTTATGTTCGAAGTAATAAGTGAAGACGATGGTGAAATTGCTGCCTATTTAATGAATTGAAAATCCAACTTATTGATAATAAAATTTATAATAACATATATTTTCTATTCTAGAAACTCCTAAAGTCATGATTCTGTTAACTATACGATTTTTTTGCATCGGATTTTTTTTTAATTACCAGCCTACTTTGCAGAGTACATAAGAGTACAGCAAGCAAAATTTACAAACAATTCATCTTCGTTGCTATAAAAATTGGCGTCCGTCAATTTTTTCCATTTCGGACAATTTTTCATCTTCACTTTTAATAAATATGTTCTTAAAAACGTCAAACTGACATATAGACCGTCAGATAGTGACCGATTTAGGTGCCCCATTTTCGCATGCAAGCCTCGAAGAGGGTTGAAAAGTACATCGATGTTGAGTAGAATAAAAGAAAATTTACGAGTGGCTCTTGGGGATAACACATTTTTGACAAATCGTATAAAAAAATTTCAAGCTGATAGCCAGAAGATTTTCATTTAAAAAAATAGTATAACATATTAAGATGCCACTATAAAAATTGTAAAAGAAACAACAGCAGTATAACTATGTTGTCATTGTTGGCAAGGTCTCCAGACCTGACAAAATAATATTTTTTCCTTGGAGTTAACTTACAGTACAAATAGTACATAATATAAATACGAGAACTTTCAAAGCAAATAATGTTAATTTCATACAGATTTAAAATACAAACATCGTGGTATAGGTACTAGATAAAAATTCGAAAAATACAAATACCTATATGTATTATTTTTAAAATTCGGGTTATATTTTACAATTCGCTTTGTTACTGACAGGCCATATAGTTATTCAAAATTAAGAGTTAAATAAAACGATTTATTTGTCGGTGTGTCACGAACATATGAAAAATTTATTTTTGTTTCGATTCTGTTACAGAATCAACATATAATTTATTAAAAATATCGAATTTATTTGTGTTATAAATCCACATATTTTCAGAATAACTTTATTTAGATTTAGATGGATCGCATGATTTATAAAATGTATTTTAGAAAGCGGAAATTACGTGGTTTATTATGTAAATCAGTTTTCAAAAGATTAAATAATATCAAAACTATTATTTTTTTTTACGAAGAAAATAGAAAAACAAATGACCAACTACAATCTACAGATAATCCAATTTTTACTAGTTGAACTTTTTATTCGTATTCCAAACATAATCATCCTTCTTTACCTAATAAATCATCAATATCCACTCTTTGATTTTTTTCTCAATACTTTTTATATGATTAATAATATATATCGAGATAGAATGAAGTAGAGGCGACATAAACACTATTTTGCGATATTACAGATGGACGCCCTTTGAGCGATGAAAAAGTTAAGCAAAATGGCGTGTGTTATACTTTGATTTATTTTGAAGTCAATAATTTTATGTTTAAAGATTGACGGATCGAAAATGTTTTTATATCATTTTAATGAAGCTATTTTAAAAAATGGCGTTTATTCTCACCAAAACTGACTAGCCCCACTAGCTCGAGTTTGACATTTGACGTAAAAGTGTAATGGTTTTGTATCGTCAAAGCATCTCAATGATTATATCCCAAAGCACAACCTCAAATTTTAATGTCATATCAACATTCTGATAACTTGTCATTACCGTTACCTCTCTGAAGTCTTGGACGACATCCTATCAAATGTTATTTGTCTTTTCTTAAAATATTTGTCATCTGCTCTCAAACGTAAATTCCACCATTTTCTTGTACTTCATGTGAGTCAAACCACGATAATAATTGCACTACTTAAAACCCATTTTTGAAGAGATCCCTTGCCTTAGAGGAATCCTTAAACACTACTCGGTCTACCATTTTATTAATAGTAATAGACGGATGAGTTTTATATATTTAATTAATATATTCTTCGAACAGTGAATCTAATTATCTTGTGGGGTTTTACCTTTGCTTAATTCTGATGTTATACCTTCATGAGGTGGAGGCAGAATAAATTCAAAGTCTTTTCTTCCCATCTTTACATTGATTTTTTTTTGTTTGTCAAGCTTATGGAGTTCTTCTGGTGGTAAGACAGTTATTAAATGTTATAATTAGGTATCTAATTTAAAATTATTGCAGATTTTTTTACATATTTTTCTTTGTCCGAAGATGACCTTATAAGGGGTAAAGCTTTAAACATTTTTTGAAAAAAAAAATCTAATAAAAAGATCCTGAGATAAATATAAAGCATCGTCTCTATGGACTTTCTACTCCTTGCTAAGAAGCACACTCAACATAAATAATGGAATTAATATAGAGAATTATTCAAAATTACGTGCGTTTCATAAACGTCAATCGGAAAAACATGTAGCTAAAAAGGCAAAAACATTTACGTCAGAACAACTTAATAATTTCATAAATGAAGCTCCTGATGAGAAATATCTGGAGACAAAGGTAATAGCTTTTACAAAGATTCAAAGGTTTTTATCATCTAGTCAATTATATAATTCTTTCTCGATACTTGTATCTTAGTATTTATTGTTATAGTCGTAGATAAAGTATAGTATTCAACTTGCGGTAATGGTCATAACTCAATTGATGAATTACAGCACTCGCCTGCGTCTCGTGCTGCAAACTTCATCTGCGTGAGATATGACCTGCATTACCGCTCGTTAAATAATATACTATTATTAAACAAGCCAACTTAGCTTAATTACATGGCTAATACAAAGCAAAAATATAAATTATAAATATACAATGGAAACAATAATTACAAATAAATTGCTATCAGAATATTGTAAGATAGTAAGGTAATAAAAAAGGTCTGATTGAAAATTTTCGTCAGACGAGCCGTTTCCGAGTAATTGAGCTTAATAGATCAATGTGTTTTTTCGATTGGTCCTTTTTACTTTGAAATTTTGTAACTAATGAATCAATGAATATTTAAAAAAGCTCACGTCGGATTCTTAAAGAAAATTTAATGCTCTACAAGAATGGTATCTTCGTGCTAAACCGGATTCACTAAGCTTACTTAAAAGAATGACATGATTTCCCTGATTGAAGGCTTTCTGAAAGTCTGTAAATGTATCTAGTTGATGTATGTTTTGTAAAGTATCCAAAAGTATTATTACTGTAAAAAAATAGATTATTGTTGATGAGACTTTTGAGCCATGAACCCATGTTGTTGAGGAACTATGTATCTACTTGTTAGTGTTAGTGAATTGATATAACTTATAAGAGTTATCATCTGTAAAATGCATATTTTTTCGATCGCCTGATAAGATATTTACTAGAAAACTTAAACGGTGATCCATGTTTTATCGACACTGTTGCCAGTTTTCAGAATTTGTCTAAAATCTGCATAAAATATACAGAGGCACTGTTCCTGCAAATAGAATAAAAAATTCTCCTGTATAATTTTTGAAATTGTTACAAGTAAAAAAGTAGTAAAAGAGTTAAGCATAAGAACAAAATAAATACTAACTATTTTATGTAAAATTTTGTCTATAAAAATATATTATCGATATAAAAGGGATTTTAAGCTCTTGAAATAGTAGATAACCTTTAGAATAAATAATCGTTTAGTAGAATAGTCTGTAAAGTTAGGTATTCATTTACATATTCCTTTTTCTTTTAAAAAAATTTTACGGCTGCAAACAATATTTAAAAAAAAAAAAAAACTAGAAAACACGAAACGTATATGTCAATGATAGAATGGTTTGTTTTTGTTTGGCACACAAATTACGTCACACTAATATAGCATATAGGATTAACAAAACTACGCCGGACAGTGAAAATGACTTCGAATAAATAATCGTTAAAACATTAAATAAGTTTCAAATAATTTAATTAATAAAATTACCTACCTCTGATAACGTTATCATTCGGCTCATGCATCTTGGCATTGGTAGGTAACTCATATTTCAACGCTTTTTCCAATTCACTATTTATTAATTTTTCGTAATATTCCACCGTGGCGTTATCGTCCTTATCGCCGGCACCGGCAGGATTCTCGTTCATCCTGCCTTCGTTGCCGTCACCATATACGGTCGCGAAAACGACACAAAACACCGCTAATGGCACTAACATCTTTCGAAAAGTAAACATCGTTAATTGGAGTGGTGCTGGTGAACTGAAGTCAGGTATTTGCTGTTTGATTCTTTTATTTGTTCGTCGAAAAAAGTTTTTAATCAATGTCGTAATTTCACTCGACGATAAGAACCCATTTACATTTATTTAAACATTTTTAAGTTTATTGAATTAAATGTGTATACATATTTGTATACAGGGAGCGAGTATTGTTTAACGCCTATGTTAATTTGTTGATTCGTAGTTGTAAAATTTTTATTACTGTAATATCAAGTTTGTTTATTTATTTATTTCTTGTTTTACGTTGGTAATATAAGTATATGATATGTTAAAAAAAGGCAACTAAAGCAAATATTTTAATTGGAACATTTTTACAATAAGAATAATTATTTATATCGAACATCTATAACACTATTTATACATGTAATACATACCACAAAAATTGGAAAGAATTTTCAGTGGCTTACAGAGGGTGTTTTAAAAAACACGTTCCATCGCTCGTGGGGTGATTCCTTGTCCAAAAAATAAGACAAATTATTAGTTCCCATCAACATGGGTACGCAGATGCTTTGATTCAAAGATACATGGTGTTAGTTTTTAGTTTTTCGATATTTCAAAATATTTCCGAAATGGCTTTAGCGATTTTAATGAAATTATGGTTGTATAATGTACTTAAAAAAAGGACATATTTTAGCAATAAAAAGATGTAAATGGGTTTACCATTGCGCTTGTGCAAACTGGCGCTTTAATAATTTTTAAGAAAAAATATCTATGCCATTGTCTTTTTCACTTTTTGATGGCATATTTAGTTAGATATTTAAATGGCGAATAAAAGACTTTTTTTAATATTTTTTTTTTTTAGATTTCAGCTTCGTTTAGGATATAAAATGCAATTTTATTAGGAAGCGTATGTAGACAGAACACGATTTTAACATAAATTATTTATTATTGTTATTTACCTAAATAAAATTATAGTAAATGTTGAAAATAGCCCACCATCAGCTTAATTATAAGCATTCAACCTTGTACATAAAGATCTTCTCTGACAAATACGCGGATTTTGCCGAACTTTGGCAAACGCCAATTAAATTTATTTTAAAAGTTCTCTGTTTTGTATTGGCGTTTCTATTTCTCGCTAATACATGCAACACCTCCGGTAAATACATTCTGAGAACATTTAAGTAAAATAAAATAATTTAAAAATCACCGGCAAAATTCTTGTTCAGGTTCATAATCTCTACTCTAGGTAAAAGTTTTTGGATTCGTGTGAAGTGATATGATTTTAACTATTATTCTTTCGAAATTCTGAACAAAAACGATACAGAAATATTTCCCATTTCTTTAAACGCGATTCTAATACTTACAGAAGAGTCACGATCCACTGAGAATTGCCTCCTCAACCTGAGCAGTTCATCGATAACTTTTGCGGCCAGAATTACATTTAAAAGGTTTTAAGGTGTTCAAGTTGGATACCTTTCATGTTAAATACGTACTGGTTCTCTTTCATTTTGTCTCTCTTAATCATAAATTACTAACATATCGGTTAATTCAGCCAAAGTACGAGTATACCTAATTTATAAAAGACATTTTGATGGTATATAATAACTTACGGATATTTGAAACTAGATAAAATTTAAAAATTAAAACGAAAACACGAAACTATGTGCTTCACTTACAGAAATTTTAAAAATATCCAAATTTGGAAAACACTCCGTATTATTTCAAACTAGTAACAAGTCAATAAAGGTGGCACTAGCATACTAGATTTTTTACGAATTTAATCAACACACCTAAATGAAGCCGAAATACAAAAAATCTTAAAAGGTGCTTTTCATTACTCCTTTAAAAATCGTAACTAATTGTGTTATCAAAAAATTAAAACGTTAGTGGCGTACATATTTTTTATTGTAAATTATTACAGCGCCCGTTCGCACTCGCTCCCATGATAAACCTGTTTACATCTTTCATTTTACAATCAAAATTTCATTGAAATCATTAAAGCCGTTTTGAAAATATTTTGAAAACAAAAACGAAAAAAATTAATAATTATATCTTTGAAACAAAATATCTGCGAACGCAGATGTTGATAGTAGTGGAGGCTGGTGACCAAAATATTGGTGGTTCACATTGACAGAATATAGATCTCAGTACAAATTTAGGTAAAACACTTTCATTGTTTTACGACTTGCTAATTGTAGTTGTTTCATAACACATGTAAGACGGGTGTAAAAATAACTATTCAATTATTATTAATCGATTTCAGATAAAATACTTATACGGACAACAAATACAATAGTTTTTTTTATTTTTATTTATTTTTTTTTATTTGGTGTCATCGGCATCGATTGATAAGGCCATTAGCCTCGTGTTCTGTGTAGGCTTTGTTACTGTTTCCCAGCGCCACTTTAGGAACAGCACTGTTAATTAGAACCCAACAGTGAATGGTCGAATGGGGAATCCTACAAAGGCCTCAGAATTAATTTTAAATAATTAAATTAAATAAAAAAAATCCCAGCCAACATTTCTTAGTGTAGTTACGCCATTTATGTTACACCCGTCTTGTACCAATTACATTCTTACAGGACTTAGAAGTGGTAATGGAAAAAAATGACCTTAGGATTTTTTTTCTGGTATATGTTTCTCTATCAATTTCAGTTTGCGCTTTGGAATTCTACAATACATTTTTGTTATTAACTTGATTATTTTCATTTTATGGCTCTTTTCTCCTACAGAATAAATGAATGAATGGTCGTCATATTCAATCGAATAATTATTTTCAAATAGAAAAATACTAAGATGTTTGTTATAAATTTCAATAAAATTTGGTTCCATGTCATTTAAGAAAATGTACTCGTATATACCTTCATTAACTTTTTTAAAGACAAATGGTTTTTATAATAAAACTGAAGTATATTTCTAAAATTTAAGATATCATAAAGAGAATATTTATCATTTTTTTAAATCTAATTTGTTGCACCAGCTTCAGCAAATTCTGTCGTTTTTAATTCATCTTTACAAAACCTAATGCGGTTGCAACACTCTCACTTAAAACACCATTAATATCTCAATTTCCCAAATATGTTGTATACTTAGTTGTGGAATATTATTTAACAGGCATCTAACGCTCGAGCTAAACAATTACATATTCAGAGGGGAGAGGTCCGAGGCACGAGGAGGGTGGACCTCTTGGTATATCTGAGTCTATTCTTTAAAGTGAGAAACGACTTGAGACGACTAATAACTGGCAAACACTATTATTAAGCGCTGCACATTCAGGTCCGGACTTAACGAGTGGAATACATGTAGTTAATTAAATCCTAACCGCTAAATCGACGTAGAACCAAATAAAAACATCGTTATATTATCTCAGTAAATATTTAAAATTGAAGTAGAAACATGATCGCCTCTCAGTACTAAATATTTTAAGAGCAATCCAGTCCCTTCTGACGTCACACCGCACGAATCTCATGACCTCCCTTTAAAGTATTTGGAACCTTGTTCGCTACATAAATTTGGCAATGTTGTGTGTCGTACCCTGAAGGGTCCGATTACAATTCAGAATTCAGGTATAATTCGTTGGCTATCGCCGCCTACTGGGGGTTAGTGGCTTGTTAATATACGAATGTAGGAATACTATTTTTAAACCAAACATCTCAAATATTTTTTATTTATTGATAGTTATAGATAATATACAGGGTGTCCCGAAATTAGACGGTCATATTTTAACAGCGTAATCTACATCCTAAAATAGTAGTAAAAGTTCATATAAACAGGTCCGAAAACTTTTCTTTTCCAAGATACAGGGTGTTAAAGGTGAAGTCCTGATACCACACTTTTGTAAATATTTTCTAAACGTTTAAAGATAATTAGGTAAAATTTGTTACAAATACTTACCTTTTTACGCTTCATTTATTGGACTAAACCCCAGTTATTGATCATCTTCTTAGGTGGATAAATTAGGGGGAGCTTAGGGTAAAATTGCCGTGTGTGTCTGTGTGTCTATATCTACCATAACTCACGAACCGATACACAGAAAAACACTAAATTTTAAACTTAAGTTTTATTTCGACCTGACGTGAAATAGTTAGATTTTGGACAAAGTCGGAACATCTGGGGGGGTACTTTATGGGAGACCGTTTTTATATTTTATTGAATATATCTGTTATTTATGTTTGGAGAAGAAAATTATTCAAATAAAAATTACTTCTAATATTATTATCTATAATTTTTGCTTAATGTCAAAATTTCCTGAAATGGTCCGTATTCGAAAAATTTGACAAAATGTGCAAAATTCTAAACTAAAAGTTGTTTGCGATATCGATCTCTATAATTTTTGTTTATACATGATTTTTCTAAAATGGACCGTAATGGAAAAATTGTAGGAAAATTGCTAAATTTAAATTTTTCAGTATTTTCATTTTCAATGAATAACTATAGAAAAATGTTTCGAGGTAGATAGATGTATGTGGAAAATGTATATATTTAGTTTATCCTCTAAACATTTATAGAGGTACTGCAATAAGTTGTACAAAATAACCAGAAAAGGCCTATAATAACTAGATGGGAAAGTCATGTGTTGGACACATCAGATTTTTTGACTATAAAATTTGGAAAACCAATATTTTCTGTATAATAAAGCTACATTTGTTGCATCTCGCTAGACGCGCCATTTTCAAGAGAAAAGCATGTTACCTTATTCGAAAGTGTAAACAATAATTAGTAGGTCTGTAGAATTAGAAATTTTATTTTTTTTTTAACTTTGAAAAACCGGTAACTAAAGAAATTTTAGAAAATATTTCATCTGGACTTCACTTGTAACACCCTGTATCTCGAAAACGAAACGTTTTCGGACCTATGTTTATATAAACTTTTACTCCTATTTTTAACCGACTTCATAAAAGGAGGAGGGAGGTTCTCAATTCGTCGCAATATTTTTTGTATGTAAGTTCAGCGATAATTCTTTAACACGGTGTCCGATTTTAATGATTTTTTTTTTGTTAGAAAGGGGGTACTTCAGGGGTGGTCCCATATAAAT